GTAATGAGATACTCCTAAAGATTTCGGGAACTTTGGTTTGCAGGGTATATGCAAAGTTTATCCTCTTTCCTACTGTTTTAGAACATTGTCAATCATTCTAAATTTTTAATTAGACCAATTTTATATTTTTATCACGCACTATACATATATGTATGTACATATGTATGGATGTCCGCATTTAGCTGTGTGTACATCTACATACATACATAAGTGATTATGCACACATAATTTATTTATACATAATATTAACCTGGCTTTGAAATTTTGATATCAGCTGTGACTGTCATTCACTATACTACTTAATTTACATCTCTTTATTTAGTATATCAAACCAAAAAACTTCCCACTTCATAATCTCTACCTCCTGCTCATCCCTGCTAAATGTTGTTTTTTTCTGCTCACTACTGTATATAAAAAAATCTATGTCTGCGCCGCAGCATACTTTTGGAATATTCATACCTACATACATATATACATACATATGTATACTTTTGTTTTGCATATATGTTTTTAGAACCTTAGAAAAGTGATGATTACGACCAATATACTTTTCGGAAAATGTATTTTTACACTTTAAATTAAACATTTTTGACTCAACAAGTTTTTTCACCCTTTTTCGCATGAATAAAAGTATAATATAACGCGACTAGGATGAAGCTAATGAATTTTATATCGAGGAACACTGTCTCACATCAATAGTATATGTATGCATGTACATAGGTATGTATGTATGTATATAAAAAAGTGATCTGCTCATATTGTACTTTCTTTGGATACCTAAAATATGTAGTTTTAGAAAAGATGTCACATTCATTAAATCCATTCGCTACAGAACTATGTATGTATTCACGCATTAAAAAAATATATATATATTTATAAAATTAGAGTACGACTCCCGTGAATAGGTTTTTTTTTGCACAAATGCGGAAAATCTAGGCGTGGTATGCAAAAATTCACCCTCGAGCAAGTTTCGAGTATATCCCAATGAAAAAGTGAACATACGGTTTATATTTTTTAACAATCGCGCATGTAATATGCACATTGCAAAACACTTTTTCCATTTATATAGGAGTTATTACCGACATTGTCCATTTTTATGTATCGTATAAGAAAAAATATACGCGAATATGTAGCACACAAGCGTTCATACATACAATTATGTGTATTTCCAGCCAACGAACGCTTTGTGCATTTACTTTATGTTACATTACGAAATGTGGTTTTCACTTTTTTATAGCTTTTTAGCTAAAATATACTTAAAACTGATTTTTATCAGTATAATTTTATCACTTTTAAGAACTCACTTTGCACTATTTTAGTGATGTGCGATACTTGATTATCGAAAAGCTATCACTATTCAAGTATTTACTCCAATTGGGATACAGTGCTGCCATATCAAAGAAGAAATAATTGGGACCCTACCCGATTCCGGTAGCGCATTTTGGTTCTGAACCGATTCCGGTAGCGCATTTTGTCCTAATTTCGGTATTAATTCAGAATTTTTTTTTCAGAAATTTTATACCAATTTCTTTACTACTTCTTGTCAACCGCTTCATATTTTTTTCTTTAAAGATTCGTAAAAAAAAATATGAACAAACTTCCGATGCTTTAAAAAGATTTCGGGAGCATTTGTTTGCAGGACATGTATTTACGTGTATGTGTATGTATACGCGGATATGTAATAGGGCTTTGGCACGGGGCGATTTCACTGGCAACAAAACTTGAATGCGAAGTTGAATGAGAAGTTGAAAGTGAATAAGTTGCCCACCCTATTCAGACGAGGCTATTTTTGATTCAACACACGATTGAGAGAATACAAAGGTTGCGCCGATCTCGGACCGCTATTCCTCTCTTAACGAATTTGACAGAATCGCTGTTTGCATGACGTCACACTGGTGCAACTTGTTTACGTTTTCCTTGCAACATTTTTTCTTCTTCTTCCATTCTTGCTCACGTTTTGGCATTTCTCTCTCGCAATTGCACCAGTGTGACGTCACACACAAGTTATTCTCAAAAATCCTCTCCGATCGGCGCAATCTTGTATTCTATCATTCTTGGATTCAACACGAATTTTTATTTACATTATTGAAAATGAATTTAAATCGCAAAATTTTATGAATTGGCGTAAATTTGGTAAGCCAAGCGTTGGTAAAGTGCTTTTAGCGAAGCTGAAAGATAAAATAAAAGTAAAAAAGTATGTATACAGAATGTAAACAAACACAGGGTTGCAAGGAAAAAAAGTTGAACGAGCTCAAAGTTGGCTGGCGACCAAATGGCTGGTTTCACAAATTTGATTTTAATTGAAAATAAATCAACAGGCCATTCACTATTCCTTAAAAGTAAATGCAAGCTACATGTAAACACAAAGCAGCTCATAAGCACTTTGACACTTCATCCATTTTTACCCGAAGAAAAAGTCAGGGCTGTTTCGGGCAGGACGTAGAAGTCACTTACGATCCAATACGTCCAAATTTTCCCTCTATTGCCCATTTTGTTGAGTACGGGAATGATTTCTGGGCTGTTTTGAGCACCAGCGGGATCCCGCGTTGCGTGCGGGAAAGAACCTGCTGTTATGCAGAGAGTCATTCTTTGTCTCAGAGATATTTTTTACTACTTTTTACATTTGTGTATAAAATATCAAAAACAATAAGAAACAACATGATAAAATCAAACGAAACAAGGATTGCTAGCATTAATTGTATTCTACATATGTACCACTTTGTATACAACTGCAACAAAAATGTACCATTCTGCTACTAAAAGGAGAAATAGTATGAAAAATACTCCATTTCGCTACTAAAAGGAACAAATAGCAAATTGTATTCACAAGCCAACCCTCTTTTGATCAGTGATTCGGTCTCAGCCGGCTGGTCAAATTTGAAAGGATTGGTCATGCGGTTCAGTGTTCTCGCTCGCTCTCAATTTTTTCGTTTTGCAGTGAAAACAACGCCAATTCGTGACCAGGAATCATATGATCGTCTGCGTAGAAAATGATTTATCGGCCAACCAGTTGGCGAACCGTTAGAAGTTGGTGGTAAATAAGCCGTGTGTAGGCAAGTTGGCCAACCTACCAAAGAACGTAAATCTAGAAAATTGGTTCTTATCAGAATTAATTCAGCGGTAGTAAAAATTAGTATTCGGCAAATTTTGCCAATTATGAGGACTGTTCTGAAAATCCTACGACTTGAAATCAATGTGATTTGTAGAATACTTTTGACTATTTGTAATTAAAGTAATAATATTTCAAATGGAAACTGCTAAAAACACATAATTTACGTTGTTGTTGTTGTAACAGCATACAATCTTCCTAAAGAGGTCTTATCCACCGATTTAGTGCCAAATTTTTTACTTTTTGTTGAAAAATCTCCAAAATAAGTTTTCTAGATCCTACTGATTTCATATCGTACTATTTGCAGAACATGCCTGCATATTTTACGGAGCAGTCAATATATGGTATCGTTATCCCAGCAGGTGACATTCGGCAATTTATACAAACTTTGAAACGAAAATTTTTAAATAAGATAGTTTGGAATTTTTCTTCTCTCCCTTATTATTAATCATAGCGCCCACAATTTTGACTCTAGAAATTATTATTTTTAGTTATGTACTAATAATAGACTGTATGATTACGGTTTCAAAGGATGTACATGATTCCATAAGTACAATATTTTATATGGGCATTTCCAGGGGAAGGTCTTTATAGTCAAAAATTAAAAGTGATATATCTATGTTGCAGAAAATTTGACATGAAAAAAAATCACAATAACTAAATTTTTGTCACCAAAAATACACAACAAATGCGATTTCTTTACAAAAGGTTGACTTTAAATCGACTTTTTTTTTTAAATTGTGCAATTTTGTGCAAAGTCGCACCATTGGCCCTATTGGACAGATGATCGATTAAAGATTCCCGTATAGATCCGATTTATACACGCTGACAAGCAATTTATATCCTTATATGAAAAAAGTGAAATCGCATTTTTTTTTTTCAAATTTAAAGGAGCGCAATTAGCATGCAAGAATGACGTTTAAAATTGCAAAATGATGTATTTACTTAAGTTTACAATGTGTAAAACGAAAAGTATACCCAGACTGTAATCTCGTAAGGAAATGAGACAAATACGACCACTGATTGATAAAGGCCGGACAATTGACGATTATCGTTCGTCAAACAGACATGTTTGTACAAGATCAACATTCTTCTACCTTATTTTCGAACAACTGGGGACCGATTTTCTATTATATCAGACATCCATACGCACATATATCGTACCTGAACTTTTTTTTACCAACTTCGATTTTTGATATTCCTTCCCCTTGATCGCCAAATTTACGCACTGTGCGACGTAACAGAAAAAAAAAACATATTTGTATCTGGCTAAGGACCGTTTTTTAGACAAAATTTCGTGATTTATATGCGGTTGCATCAACAATAACAAATCCATATAAAAAATTCAGACCAAAACCCCGCTTTCCCAACAACGATTCATCTATGCTACCAGAACAAACTCGTTTATATCCGTGACAGGGTTGTTTAGCAGATGGATTACCCAAACATATCGTCTTGATGCTAACAAAGAGTTCTTTGTTAGTCACAGCATTACTAATTAGATGTTAATTTTATAATTAAAAACGTACAAACAGATGGTTTAACATGGCATTTTTTACACTTTACCAAGCTGATATGCAGTAAAAGTACATAATAAAAGTGAACAAAAAATGCTTTGAAATTATAATTTACTCTTGATGCTGATTTTAAATTCAATTTACAATTGTTCTAAGCAAAATCATCTACATTTACAAACTACAAACTATAAGTAATACCATTGCACACAAATACCACAAATACAAAGGTCAATAGATTACAAATATACCATAGGATATATAACTAAATCTTCAATACAAAAAATAGTTACTAGCATTAGTGCCTTTTTTCTTTCCGGCACATTTGAGAACAATAGATTTACATTTGTCGCATGCATTTAAATAACATACATACATTTTACATTCATTAGTATAAATATTTAAACTTTATTACCTAAGGGTTTTTTTGACAATACTACTACAATGTCTACTAGCCAATAAAATGATTGCCTTAAATCGCCTTCACATAGATAAGGTGCTTTAGTCCAAGCTTCAATACGGAAACCCATTTGATCTAGTAATTCAAAAAATGCAACTGCCTCTGCTTCGAAACTCAATTGCTGAGAACGTTCTGGCCAATGTTTTAGTAGAGGACGTAGTGGCATGTGGGATGAATTCATTTCCACATAATGTACATAGGGTAAAACCAGTGCCAATAAAACACGTCCATTTGGGGCTAACGCTTTATAAATTTCTTCCAAAAGATCTATTGGATCGATGCATCGGTCCAGCACGTTCAAGCATGATATCAATTGGACATTTTGTACCTCACTTATCCGTTCAAGAATACTAAAGTTCCTATTTTTTAAACGCTCACGCATTGTCCAACTGGTTTCTGTGGCAAATGTATGAATTTTGCTATTTGGATGTAAATCCTGAATCGATCTTAGCAAACGTATAGTAATTTCACCATCTCCGGCGCCAATATCTAAGCAGTGTATCTGTAAAAGCTTAATTTTTTAAATATTGGATAAAGATAGGTTAACCGTTTTATAATTACAGTATCATATGATTTGAAGTCAAAACCACCACATTTAAGCAGTTTTCCAAATTGTTGTTCCGATAGTATAAACATAGAACCACGATTTAGATATCCATTAATATCAGTCTGCGTCATAAAAAATTGTAAAACTACGCGAGCTACAGCATGCCAGATGTGAAGCCAAATATTTGTTGATAGTACTTTGGCACGTTCTAGCCAACGCGTTGTCGATTCGTCTGGCTGGAGCAATGGTACAAACTTGGTTTGGAATTTGGGAGGTAGTTCATGATTGGTTGTATACCACTGAAAATACATATACTAGTTAGTACAATAAATAACACACTTAATTTAATTATCAAATCGTTGGAATATTTTTTTAACGGTTACACTTAAATTTTTTTATGAGAATTGAAGTCGGATTTGCTTTTTGCTTCAAAATTACTAGTTTTATCTCGGACTTTTTTATAAAAATAATTATGCTATCTCATTCTTACAAGACATGTAGTATCTGCACTTCTCACAAAAATGAGATTCTGATATCAAAATCCACCTAAGGCTGAACTTAAAAAACTTGTACAAGTTGGTACCAATCCCACATCGTGTTCGTTTGGCCAAAAAACTAGTAAAACGTACATGGAGAGAGCACAAATGTTTGCCAACAAGAATATGCAAGCAGGATTGTGGCACACGGTTGCATTTTTGTCAACAATAATTAGAATTTTTTTACTAGAATATAATGGGCTTCAAAATTGCATTCTCAAAAAAATTCTAAAAGATCTGATTAAAAAGTTGAAAGTTTTGATGAAAATTTGCTGAATTTTCGCGAGTTTTGCACAAAGTTTAGGAGTTATATTTTTATGTTTTTGTTGTAGAATAAACCATATTTTTATACGAAGCTAGCGGAAAAATATTAGAATGAAAATTGTTGCATATATTGTGAAAAATTTATTTTTAGAATAGTCTTGTAAAAATGAACAAGCATAATTACTTTTCCAAAGAAAAGCCCTTAAATTTTGCCGAGATGTAAAAAATGAATTTACCTATAGAAATGAAATAAGGGCTGCGTTTCTTTATACATTCCAGATAATCACATTTCACAGCCAGAATGCGTTTGAAATATACGTTAACATATCATCAGAAACGTTCGT